CACTCAATTCTGTTTGATTATTGTTCATTAAGGAATTCAAAACATACTTCAAATACCAAATTTGAAACTATTCCGGTAAATAACGTCGCTAAAATCATCAAAATATCGAATATCGGGAGGTACCGTTACATGGGGGCTATACCAAAACGTGGACCTACATGGCCTATTTTCACATCGCTAAATCGACATGGAATTTTATGCTGAAAAAATGTGTATTTCGAGGTGTTACAAACGGAATGACAAACTTAATATGCCCTCCATACTATGGTGGGGGTATAAAAAATGTACACATCAATATAGTATGTGAAATTAAAAAAAGCCAAATAAGTTTTTATTCACATTTTATGGGCATATTTTCATGAGATTTTTTTTTTGCCAAGATAGGGTAAGTGTACCAGTAGTCGGCACTTTTTGGATTTTCGATTATTCAATCTTTCAACATTCTGAGTTAAATCTTTCAATTACAGAAAAATAAAGTTGTTCAGGTTTCAAATTTTGTTTACTTTTCGAAATAATAAACAAAATTTGAATTTGTTTTTATTAAATTGGCAAGATTTGCAATTTTACTAAAATATTAGTTTTTTGCCAGTAGTCGGCGCCATTTTCTAATGCTCGGCATGTCTATTTGCCAGTAGTTGGCTTATGATATTTCAATAAAAAAATATTATTTTGCAAATTTTTTTATTTGAAATAGTATAAAACTATGCAACATTAATAAATCACAGTTTAATCCAGAATTTGAAATTATTTTCGTTTTTAAATATTGTTTTATTTAATTATCATTCTAAACCAAATATAGGTAGAAAATCAAGATTAGTATGGTAACATTCAGTAACGTATGGATTTTCAATTAAAATAAAAATGAATACCTTTCTTAAATTTGGATTTTGAGAATTGATCTTTTTTCTTAAGATAGCCAACATTTTTTTCAAAAATGCCCCCGCTATCTAAAACGTCAAATAGCTGTTTAAAAGACCTACTTATTTTAGAAAAGTTGGTCAAAAAGCACAAATAAAAGCAACTGCCGATTCAAAACAATTTTTTTATTTGAGTAGTTTTTGGATTATTTTTTAATACTTTTCTCAAGTTTTGGTGAAATTGGTCAAAAATGATATTTTTCAGTTAATCGGCTCCACCTGCCGACTACTAACAAATCACTTTTTTCTGTTGCTAATGTCGTCATTAAATAAAATAACAGAAAAATGTTTGATTTGTATGTTTTTAATTTATAAAATGATCTTTAGACTGTTATTTACTAATATAAAATATTTCTAATTCCAAAAGTTTAAATTTGATCTACTTAAATCGATTATTATGTTGACGCCACCACTATTTTTTTCTTTACAAACAAGCACTATCGTACGCGTTGGAAGACACTCACTGACGAAAACCGTTATTCTCTAGTAATAAATGATTGGAGCTCATTGTTTTTTACAGAAAGAGAGCAGAGAACACTGCTGACGTTTTTTTTGCAATTATTTAATTATTTGGTCAATTCTATTCTTAGTTATATAAGTTTAATTTTCAAAACTACTGGGACATGCCGAACTTAGGCGCACTTACCCTACCATTCCAAAATTATAGGAATTGTCAAAATCTGTTAAGCCGTTCTTGAGTTATGCGTAGTTACTAACATAACTTTCTTTTATATGGTGGAAATAATTCTTTATTATGTATCTTCTTCTGAAATTATATTATTCGTATAGTTTCACCTACCCAATAAATGCGTAACATCTATATATAACAGTTTTGTCCGTTGTCGCTTTGTACTACCCTAAAATACTACACATCATATTAGAATTCAAAAAGAAAAAAAAAAACACTAAAAATGTACATTTGAAAATAGTAAGTCTAAATGGAAATTTTTTTAATTACGATTGTACATTTAAAAAGTCAAAATGAATTTTATTTTTTCGATTTTATCTTTTTCTGTCAAGAGACAATTCTAAAATTGTCTGAATCGTTAAAATCAGATCAGCGGTTTTTGAGTTAAAAGCGTAGTAACTTACACAACTTTCTTTTAAATATATAGATGAAATCAATAAAGAAAATATTGTTATTACAATAATTATAAAGTTGAGTAGTAATATTAGTAAACATAGATATTTTAATATTTTTCCTATATAACAATGGAAAGAAATATTGACAACGCCCACTATTTCGATTTATCTAAATTCCTTATATTTGCCAAAAAAATTAAGATATAGGTTTGAATATTATTACACGAGATGTTGTTGACTTTCCCTCCAACCCTAAGCATTTATTTGGGGCTGAGGAACTTGCCACGCCTACTTTGTAATATATATAGCTGAAAAATAAAATGTCGTTCGTTGGTAATGGTAATGGAGTCAGATGAAAAAGGTTGAATCGATTTGGATAATTTTTTTAAAAAAGTTCGTCACACCCAGCTCAAAGTTCGTCACCCAATTACAGCTCAAATAGTATGAATTTTGGTGAAATCGGATAAAATATAGCCATAGGCTTTATTTTTAAAATTTTCACAATCGAAAGATGTAAATGCTTCCGTCAAATTTTGGGGAAATCGATTCTGGGTACCATATTCCTCTCATATATTAGTTCTTTTTGGTTTCAAATTATAATTGCTCTTAAGGTTTGATCTACTTTACATAAATTTTTAATATAAACGTTCATTTGTTACGCGTAGTACTACTAAATAACATTAATTTACTGGTTTTAAAAATGTGATGTTGCCTGGCTTGGGAATCGAACACGTACGTTCAGAGAACAAACCGAACATGCTTATCACTGCACCACTGTGTCACATAATTCTCAAGTAGAACCAAGTCTTCTTTTAATTCTTCGATAAAAGATAATTGAAATAATTTAAAGAAATTGTTTGTGTAATGCAACAAAATCTATCTTCTTCCTATCCTCATCTTCCTTTACACTACAAAGTAGTAACTCCATGACAATAGAAAGTAAACAACAGTTGTTTTGTTATTGGAAATACAAACTGTCGCATCTATCAAATAATAAGCGTTGCAGAAGTGACGTCTTAAGGTAGGACGTGAGAAACTCACTTCCAAATTCTTGCTGGGATTTTTTATTATATTTACCAAGTTTATAAGCCAATATTTTAATGCGAAAAAAACATATAATACAAATGTGAATAAATAAATCAAAAATTAGTAAAACGTTTAATCTTCTTGTGAGACTATGATTCACAAAAAAGAAAACAAGTTAAAAAGCTGGTACAAATTTAACAATTTTCAAAAAAATAAAATCCGTTAAAAATTCTGTTAAAGTCTTAAATATACCGGATGTAGTCGTATATTAGGGTTGCATAGGCAAATTTTGTCACAAGCTATTACAATATTCAAATGCGAAACTTGAAAATCCCTCCATACTATGGTGGAGGGTATAAAAATAAATATGGAACAATTTCAGTGATTGGTCCTTTTTTTCTTTTTTGAAAAATAATTACTTCTTGAATCCTTCAAATATAAAATCGGGTTTTTATATTTACATGTTATGGCACAAAATGTTTATATTTCCTTCCTATCCATTTATACAAATTGTATTATAGTGCGAGATTTTTTTTACCACTTTGAATACGTCCGTGCCATCCTCTTCATATAAAGGCACCAGCCCCCATTGTAATATTTTGAAGACTTTTATGTTTAAGAAGACATTTATGTTTCTAACTGCAAATTCAAAAAGTTTGGGTCCATAGCGGCATAGGAGTTAGGTGTATAGGTTTGGCTGGGAAGTTTAAAGGGTGCAGCGATTCTGAGCACTGCTGTCAATCCGAGCTAAATATGAATAAATATGCATTTATTTATGCATTTTATTATGCTGTCGCACTTTTTAAGTCTTCGCTTCCTCATGTGGATGGTTGACAGGTATCATGAGGAGGTACCCTGTTGCGGTTCTAAGGACGACGTTGCACATAAATCATATTTAAATGTAAGGGATGATGATAACTGAAGAACGCAACTCTAAGAAAATTTGCTCATAAATGACAATGCTGTAGAAAATCAAACAAAAAAATGTCTATACTGAAGAAGAATGATGTGGCGTACAATACCAAGAATGTTCATAGAAGTAATTTGAAGTACTCTAATTGTGAATTTGGTCGTGATCAGACCAATAGTAATATTAGTGTACCACGTGTCCCTGAGGACGCTTGTAAACGCTTTAACTTTCGGTGCTTAGGTTATTAGCTTTACTCCCTGCAACCAAACTGAAGGCTACTGTTTATGAAATGCGTGGAAAGATTTCTCAGATGATGGACATGCGGGCATTAACTATTATAATAATCTTGACAAATACCCATTACTGTGTCTGTCAAAAACTCTTATGATTTGGCTAGGTTTACGACGTATGTATAATACGCCGGGAACGTATGTCATATATGTCACAATTTCTAACTGGTCATCTATGTTCATTGTTGTGTCCTTTTGTCACTTGGCGATTATTTTGTGCTTTTGTCACTTGACGTATTTGTTCGACAAAATTATCCTTGCCAATTTAATTGAAAAGCTTTCTCAAACATTAAAGTTATCTTCTTCGGTGTAAGTATGTTGTTAAATTGGTGGTTGATCATAAATGAAGTGAGTATAAATGTAGGGAAACCAAAGCATTTTTTGGTAATAAACCTGACAATTTAATTCCTATTTTCTGGTTTTCTTCCTTGGTAGCAAATTGGCTTTTGAAGCTCGTTTTTTCTCCAATGGTAATTTTCCCTTAGCAAGTTGTGTGCATTGAATATTGTACGTTAAAAATGCAGTTGAGAGTTTACATAGAGCTATGCGTTATGTCTATTCTTTCTTATTTTGATTATTTTTTCTTCTTTTTTCCATTATTTTCGAATAGGCTATATTGGTTAGTTGTACGATATTTTCGAGAATAGTTTAAAGATTCTTGTAACTTCGATGGACTATAGGCTTCTTTACAAAAATGAGATGGAATAATTTTTTAAATATCATTTCTACAAGTATAATATTTGGTAGAAATACATTAATTATATATTAACATACCTTCGCCATAGGTAAAACGGCTTGGATGTCGTCTTTGTTTACTTCTAACTTAGCTATTATTCTCTTTTTGTTGTCATCTGGAGCAATTTCCAATGAAGATTCTCGTGGATTGTCATATATGTAGGTAACAGACCACACTATTTTACCGCCATCAACTAAGTCTTTGGTATCATCTGCAACTTCCAAGAGCCATGTAAATATCTCATCAATTCTAGAGGAAATTAAAAAATATATATATTGTTAGAAAGGAAATTTATTAAGGTTGCAGAAATTCTATTATTTTAATTCACAAACTCCAATTTATTTTTAAAGCGCCTGCCTAAAACCGTCCCGTTGCAATGCAAAAGTTGAACTCATGAATTTTAATGTATGTTACCAATGTTCAACTTTTGGTTACAAAAGTACTCAATCAATGTATTCGTATGCATTGTTTTATTTTAGTGATCTCAAAAAGGTTACAACAAATGTTTTATACTAAAATATATATCTATATATATAAAAGAAAGCTGTGTTAGTTAATAAGCTTATAACTCAAGAACCGCTGTTCTGATTTTAATGATTCGGACAAATTCAAAAAAAAAAAAAAAAAATACGGCTAAAAACGTGAAAAAAATGATGAATACTATTGTAAAGTTTTATATTGCAGCATTCGAAAATAAACAGTACACAAATATAGCAAACTGAACCGGTACAGTATCAATTTTAGCGGTAGTGTACCGGTACGCTACCACTAAAAAGTGATACTGTACCGGAACCCAACGACCGCAGTCGGAGCACTAAAAAATCGTAGTGTACCGCAGTCGGAGCCCTAAAAAAACGCAGTGTTCCGCAAACGGAGCATTAAAAACCCGTAGTGTACCACATGCACCATATTAATAAAATTGTACTGGCATCAATGTGCTTTTTATGATTTGAAAAAATATTTATATTAGATGTTTGATTTTTGGAATAATAGCATTGATAATGAATAAAATGATTATAATGTATATAAAATGATAAGATGTATATTATATCTAGATGTAGTACCTGTAATGGATTTAAGATTTGGTCGTTTTTTATTATTTCTACCTATTATCATATTTTTCTACTATCTTCAATTTCGCGACAAATCTCAACATACATGACAAACAAAATTTACAAAAATATTTATTTATAATATTGAATTGTATTAGTAATATTTGCATTATCAAAAACATCAAACATCTCACAAATCGTAAACAAAACATATGTAGTACACTACCGGTGCATTATTATTATTTTTTAATTTTCCGCCATGTGGTGCAATACGATTTTGAAGTGCTCCGACTGCGGAACACTACGATTTTGTAGTGCTACGACTGCAGTACACTACGTTTTTTAGTGCTCCGACTGCGGTACAGTACAATTCTCGTTGTGCTCCAGTACAGTATTACTAAAATATTTTTTAAGGGTTGTCTTCCGGTACGGTACATTATCTTAGTTGTTGTTGTTGTAGCAGTATTACATGCAAGTGCCAATCTGGTTCCGGCTCCAGGTTTAGAAATTCTTCTGGAGTGAGTTGGGTAGGTTTGGCTGTACAATTAAAGAGGCGCAGCGTATTGTGCGGGCCTGTATTCGAGCCCAATACGAATTGAGACGACTACACCATCCTGAACGTAATTGCGTCAAAACTACCCTACTTTGTCTAGGCAGCTGACGTTTTTCAGCTGCAATGGATGGGGAGTGGACTCCGAGAACGCCATTCATTTTATAATTACTACTCTCAGACCTGCCTGATAGGCTTCTTGATCTAGAGGTTCTCTTTTGTAGCGCTGGACCTCCCACTCTAGATCATGTATGTCCTTACTGACATGCCTGGGTGGGGGAGATTTATCCACCATATGATGGTTGGGATAACTCTCACGCTAACGCCCAAGCAAGTACTGCAACGAAAGCATATGATTATGCTGACGTAAGGGAAGGACTTTCACCTCCTCATGTAAATGGCCCACTGGTGTCATGAGAAGACATCCTGTCGTAGTTCTCAGGGCAGCGTTCTAGCAGGTCTGGATGTGCTTCCACTGCGTAGCACTAGAATTCGCAGACCACACTGGGGCCGCATAGCTGACCACAGACCGACCTATCGCGTTAAAAGAGGCCAATAAGGATTCTTTGCCCGCACCCCAAGTGCTGCCGGCTAGCGCCTTGAGGACCTTGTTCCTACTTTTCATCTTGTCGCAGATAGCTGTGGCTTGCGCGGACGACTTGAACATGCTGTCGAACGTGACCCCAAGAATCTTGGGGCAGTTCGTGGTTGGTGTTAGATTCCCCTCGACCTGAACATTCAGCTGTGTTTTCATCTCCGCAAACCATGTGGTAAAAAGTGAGGCCGTTGATTTTGTGGCGGATAATTTAAGATTCCTCTCGTGGAAGTATGCGGCAAGCTCCGCGAGATAGGAGTTCAGCCTTTCACATATGTCATCGACCACTGGACCCGACGCCATGATCGTACAATCATCCGCATACGTTACTATCTCTATGCCGTCTGGAGGGAGAGGAATTCCGGAAAGGTAGATGTTAAACAGTTCCGGAGATATCACCCCACCTTCGGGAACTTCCTGTTTCATTCTATGGGCTTTGGACTTCTTGTTCCGGAATTCCACGTACGACTGGCGTCCACGCATATAGTTGATTATCCGACGTTTCAAACTTGGCCGGAGGGTAACGTCCTTCAGTATGGCATGATTGACCGTATCAAATGCCTTTGATAGGTCAAGGGCCTACTAATATGTCTGAAATGGCGTGTAATGCTGTTGTGGTACTATGTTGAGGATGGAATCCGTGCTGGTGGTTGGCCACTGTATAGCTTCCTCTAATGCTGGGGGGAATAAAGCCTCAAGAATCTTAGCTACTGGCGACACAAGCGAAATCGGCCTGTACGATTCGCCTTTACTGGCATCCTTGCCTGGCTTCAGTAGCGGGACCACCCGGCCCGTTTTCCAGGTTTCGGGCACTATGTGGGTGGCTAGCGACAAATTGAAAACTTTCGTTAAGTACTCGACTCCCGGCGTATCCAACTGCTTCAACATTACCACTGAAATTCCGTCCGGGCCCAACGCTTTGGATGACTTAGCGTTACGGATGACATTTGCAACATCACCCATCGTAAACTGTGGTGGTTCCTCCTCGGCGGGAAGAGATCTGATACGACGTGCTCGAATAATTGTCGGTTAAAATACTCCGCCATCCTATCATCCATTTTTCCAGGGTTGAGAGCGAGACCGTTACCCACAACATTTCTGGTTGACTTCCACTGTCAAATCACTGATTCTAGGATCAGTAGGGTTGGTGCGACGGAGATCATCACGCTCATTTGCTAATCCCGCTACCTCTGCTGGGAAGTTTGGTCTTACCTCGGTATTCGACCAGCGGGTATATAGCGAGCGGCTGCAGCTTTGATGATGTCCCGGAAAATCCTTTCTGATACCCAAACATCAGAAGGGTTGGGCAGTTCTCTGAAGCGGCGGTTGGTGAATTCTCTGAACTCTGGCCAGTGAGCTTTCCCATGGTTAAGGAAAGTACGGCGTTCAGAGGTTATGAAGTCGGGCGACCTGCTTATGGAGACGATTATCGGGAGATGGTCTGAGCCAAGAGAAATGACGGGTTGCCAAGTCACGTCATTTATCAGACCGGGTGACACAATGGTTAAGTCTGGCGAACTGTGACACTCTCCTCTTATTCGGGTGGGATCATCCTCGTTAACCCTGCAGAATGTGGAGCAGTCAATCTGCTCTGCCAGCGCTGATCCCCTCTGGTCATTACCTGAGACAGAATGCCACAACTTATGGTGGGCATTAAAATCCTCTGGTACCAGGCGGTTATTGCCTACCAATAATGGGCTAATATCAGGCAATTACGCGATTCACAGATATTAATCGGCAGGATATGCACTTTAAGGACCTCTACCACACTTGACTGCTACCCCCTTACATTCCATGTATGGGTCACTAGAGACTGGCTCAAGCGAGATAGGTCTGTACTGAAAGAATGGTGTAACAGGAACGCTAATCCCCCACCTCCACTTCTAGTGCGATCCTTCCTTAGTTGTAACCATAACAACGTTGTAGGCTGCAATTTTTATTCAGCTTGGTTTCCTGCACCGCTGCGATCTTAATATTCCTCCGACTCATAAATTCCAAAATCTCATCTATTTTGCCTTGGAGTCCGTTGCAATTGAATTGCAAGAATGATGCACAATCCAGAGTTGGAACAGCAATATGTGGCATTAGGTGCTGCGGTGTTGGTTGCTGTTCTGGAGACTGCGTTTGAGTTCCATACTCCGACGACGTCTCTGATGAGAACGAAGAAGAAGTGGACTCGCTGGGGACTACGTTACTGCAGCAAATTGCAACATAATCCCTTTCGCTGTAGTCTCGCAAACGCCTTAGTCCGGAACAGTTCTTAAAGGGACTACGTTACTGCAGCAAATCGCAACATAATCCCTTTCGCTGTAGTCTCGCGAACGCCTTAGTCCGGAACAGTTCTTAAAGTGCAGATCTGTGGTGGATGACGTTCTGACAAACCAAGCAGAACCAAGGTCCGGGGTTTTCTTCAATCCCGGCACGAACCAATAAAATCCGGAGCAAACATTCCGGGATATGCTGCTCCCAATGCAGAAAAATAAACAAACACAAACATGTATATGTGCATACTAGGTTGGCAGCCGCTGGCCGAAACTGGGATCTGATAAAAAGTGAATATTTTTGTTACATATTGTGATATATATATTTTTTTTATTTTTGTAATTTTTTGTTGCATGAGTTTTTTGCAATTTCCTCATATTGAAATGTATATTTTGTAATGTTTGTTTGTGTTCTTATTGTGTATGGAAAATCTAATTAGCATATAACAGTAATGTCACAACATTACTGTTATCAACACATCTAAATCAAGACGAGGACCAGCTACATTCGTATGGAAAGTTTACATCTTATCTGAACCCAAAATATCTGAAACCAATAGATACTGATATATGGGGTCATATTAAATATATAGTTATATTTTCTGCAAAATGAAGCGCTAAAATACTAAGCTGGTTCGAAAATGTATCTCAAATCTTCAAAATTCTTAAAATTCGCTTACGAAATGCTTGTGTAAGTTTTCTCGAAAAAGATTTTACACTACTAGAAATAAGAACTTATTCGGTCGGAAATAGCGGCGTTAAATTGACAGTAAATTGGTGAGATAAAAAACTGCAACAAAGTCAAACGCCATAATTTTTACATTTTTTTTAATTTTTACTGAACAAAAGCAAAAAAATGTTAAAAATATAATCAAATTTTATAACAAGTTTTAGTATAAGTTAGTAAGTTTTTAGTAAGTTTTTTAGTATAAGTTAGTAGTTTTAGTATAAGTTAGTCACCTTTTGCGCGATGAAACCGTCACACGCTGCCCGAATGTTGATCTTGAG